CCTCTGGCAAGTCCGCGATGTAGCGCCCTTGGCGAGAGAGGGTGGCTGCCTCGAACTCGCCCCCGCACCAGGATGCCATCTGCTCGGCACAGTCAACTTGCCCCCCGAACTCCTCAAGCAATGGCCTGGTGAATAATATCGGAGTTCGCCGGAGTTCGCCCCGGTACTACGTAGATGTAGAGCGCCCCTGACTTCTGCTTGAAGCTGGCCAGCATGTTCCCACACCACTGCGCGCACTCGACCTCACCGTTCCCGCAACGGAACGGCCTTCGTCACGCGTAGAACTTGAGATCCTGGACGGGGTAGCCTTTCTGCATGCAGTCTGCCGCGTAGTCCCCGAGCATCTCCGAGCCCGCCATGAGCGCGCTGGCCCCACAATACATGACTCCATTGCTGGCTGGGATCTCGCTGCTGCCCTTGGCCTTTCCGCCCCAGTGGACCTCGCCAACCACGAGGCACTCGTCGGGGCGGCCCCTTCTTGTTGGGAGGCTCGGCGCAGTCCCCGGCCCAATGGCCTGGCTTCCCATGCCCAGGCAATTGGCCGATGGTGTAGTTGTCGGAGTTGGCCGCGCAGCTGCCCCGGCTCGCCCCCCTGGGTCCGGCCTGTCTGGTCGTGCTCTCACGTAGGCGCCGGGTTGTGGTGAACCCTTTGGGATGCCTTTCTTTGCTCTTGACTTCCCGCGCCCCTTGGCACCTTTCCTGCTTGGCTTGCCTCGGCCGCCGGCGGCCCCAGCCGGCGCTGTACTTGAACGCGATCCACTTCCGACCATCGCCACAACTGGGTAGATACCCTCGCGCTAACTCCAGGTCGTTGAACCGCGCCCCGGCGCCCTGGCGCCCGCGCAGGCCGCGCACACCTCGTCGCACTCATCGGGGTGCGAGCTCGTGAGCTGCACTGTACTCGAGTTGGCAGTAGCTCTCGTCGCAATCGCACCACGCGCCATCGTCCTCCGCCCATTACCCCCGCTCGTGGTCGTCCTTTGCCTCGTCCTCCGGCTCGACAGCGCAAGCTTCTTTTTCGTTGTAATCTCTTTCCTCGTCGACGAAATACTGTCTCCGTGCGCGATTCGGCTCGTGGATGGTGCTCTCCTGCCCGAAGGTGGTCTCCAGCGCCCAGATCATTTGTCCCGAGTGATGTCCTTGCCGACCACCGACATGATGACTGCCTTCTGGTCCGCATTGCAGCAAGGTGTCGTAGCGCGACCCAGGCCTGGCACCTTGGCGGGCACTTCGACGTCGCGCGTCGTGAGTTTCCGCTCTGCTGCTCGAACTCGCGAGAGGTAGGCGAAGAGCGTCTCGCCCCTGTGCCTCCTGAGCTTGTAGAAATACGCTTCGCCGCGCTCGGCTTGATGAGGTCGGGCCTCGCCGGTGAGACCTGCGCCGAGCATGAGAGCCGCTTCGCCTTCCTTCTCCTGCGAGAGCTTCGCTACGAAGATCATCGCCCGCTTCTCGCACTCCTTCCATTTGCCGAGGGTGCCGTCGGACTGCGGAACTCGCTCTGGCAGAAATCCCACCAGCCCACTGGGCATCGGTGGTTGAGAAAGTTCCCTCATCCAGCCCTCCTTCTTACCTTCGGGGAAGGGTTTACCCCTCCCCCAACCCCCTCCCCATGGACCTGGGGAGGGGGGTCGCGAGTCGTCAGGGCGTCTAATACGGCCTCGGCGAGGAAACCAAAATCACTGATTTTACCCAGGTTCGGGCCTCATTTTTGGCCTCCTACTGAGGGGGGGCCCTAATTGACGCCCCCCTCTTGTTTGATGGATATCCTCCAAGATGGCCCCAAGAAGCGCCCAGGAGGCCCCAAGAGGTCCCAAGATGGCCCCAGGATGGCCCCAAGAGGCCCCCATAAGGCCCCCATAAAGCCCCAAGAAACCCCCCAGAGGCACCCAAGATGTTCCAAGAGGCCTCGGCGAGAATGCCAAAACGGCCTCGGCGAGGAAGCCAAAATCATTGGTTTTACCCAGGTTTGGGCCCCACTTTGGTTTCCTACTGAGGGGGGGGAGCCCAAATCGACGCCCCCCTCTTGTTTGATCGATATCCTCCAAGATGGCCCCAAGAAGCGCCCAGGACGCCCCACGAGGTCCCAGGATTGCCCCAAGATGGCCCCAAGAGGCCCCCGAGAGGCCGCCAGGAGGCCCCCAAGACACCCCCAAGAGGCCCCAAGAGACCCCCCAGAGGCACCCAAGATGTTCCAAGAGGCCTCGGCGAGAACGCCAAAGCACTGATTTCACAGAAAGGTTTTAGCCACATGTTGGACTCTTGGGGGGAGCACTGATTAAGATGACTCCAAGAGCGCCTGGGGGAGCCCAAGATGACCTCCAAGATGGCTCAAGAAATCCCAAGATGTCTTATAATGGCTTCCTTTGCGTGCTGCCCACTTCCCTGATCCAGGCAATTCCTCTGGGCATCGTTTCTGGATGGGCTGGTGGGGATTGTTCAACGGCCTCGTGAAGCGAGTCAGAAGGCGTCCAAAGTTTAGCCAGGCCACGACTAGGCAGCGAAAAGCGGAAACCAAGACAGGCGCAGCAGCCGGGCGGCAGCTCAGAAGGACGAAAAGAACAGGTAGACCCATTCCTGGTGGCGTCCGAAAATCCCGGTAGCTACCAGCAAGTAGACGCAGCCAAAATGGCGCGGCGGCGCGACCGAAATCACGTAGAGGTCGAACACTGTGAGTGGCTCGACTGGCAACGTCAGAACGAACGAGACCGACACGCACCCCCAGAAGACATCCGTGAAGTGGACGAGCACAAATGTCGAAACATCGTGGCAGCGCAAGGGTGAAGAGGGGGCAACCTCGTCACAGATAGAACTGCAAACGGCAGTAGCTCTGTTCGCACAGCAGTGGAAGTTGTCGAAAGCGGAGTCCTTGCAGGAGAAAGCAGCCGACGGGCGCACACAGCCACACATGCCGAACCCGAAGTCCTTGCACCGTAGAGGACGGCAGCGCAGCGAGGTCCCACTGAACCCTTTCGGCCATCAGTGGAGGCCGACACCAGCCAGGAGCAGGCCAGGGGGCACCTGACCGCCCATTCCCAGTGTGATCCTTGCATGGAATTCAACCCCAGCCGCGTGGAATGAACCCGGTGAAACCAAGGAGAGGAGGGGAGGTGCACGCCAGGCACGGTAGGCACCCCGGTGTGGCAGCTAACCGCTGCAGCACTAGGATGCAAGAGGGGAGGAAAGGAAGTGCACGCCAGGCACACGGTGTGAGGGGAGATGATCCCAGTGTGAACCATCGCTGGTGGAGATTCGCGAAGCGTCAACAATTCCGATGATGTCACCGTCTTCGCCATCTGGTCGAAATCGAACTGCAACGGGTCTATGAAATCAACCGTGAACCGCCTCGAAACATCTGTGAAACCTCTGGTAGGTTGGTCAATCAAATTGAACGGCAACGGGCTGTCGAAACTCAGCCGCGGGAGCTATATAAAATCGGCCGCTGAGTGGTTCCCGTAACCGAAGTGAAAACGTCGCTGGAATATGGAAGGTTGAAAGGTGAGCCTGGCGAATCAGGCTACGCTACCAATATGAACCGATCAAAGCCCTCGAAGTCTCTGATGTCAATGAGAAAAAAAAGAAAGAATAATATCGGGATGTTTTCACACCGCTGCGCTGGTGACTCAAGGGCCCTGTCAAGGTTTGGGCCAAAAGACAGTACGGTCGGGAGATGTTTTTCGTCCCCCGCTCGTGATTATAATGCAGTGCGCGCTCTGTTATTATCTTGCGATGCTGTCTGAACAGATGTACAGCGTAGAAATATATATATATATATACACACACATATATATATATATGTATATGTATCACGCAAATGGCTCTAAGAGGGCCCCAGATGGCCCAGGGTACATTCGATGATGCCCCAGGACCGCAACAAGAGGGCGTTAAATGGTGACGTAGCCTCCAAAGGAGACCCCCGAGAAGCCAGTCAACTACTTGAGGAAACTCTCGCTAGCTCTCCTGCATTCCTGCCGTTTCGATTCGGTCGGGCCATGGAGGCCTCAAGATGGATCCAAGATCGCAAAAGACAGCTCAAGAGGGGTCCAGAAGGGATGCGAAAAGGCCCAAACAGCGCTCCAAGAGCGCCTGATGAGGGCCTGAAGAGGGCTCCGAGGGGCGGTCCCAAGAGAACCCCGAAAGGGTTCCGCAAGCTCCCATCTTGGCTCCAACGGGACTTCAATCTAGCCACAAGCGGCTCTGGTGAGCGTTTTCTTATTCGGCGTCTCAACATTGGGCGGAAGGGGGGAGGGGGAGGTCTGGTTCCGGTCCTCTGCTTAGTGCGACTGTTTGCAACGGTGCGCCCCATGAGGGAGACTACACCTGCTCGAAACAGGCGCCAAAAAAGAGCCAAGATCTACTACAAGAGCGCCCGCGCCGATCGGCAAAACAATGAATAAGAAAACGATCACCTTCCAGCAAAAGATTTCCGAATGTCTGCGTGGCCGCTCCTGGACATGTTCAGGCTGCCTCCGAGCTTCGGCTCGGCGGCTGACCGCCTGCCTGTACCTAATAGGTGCTCCTGCACTTCCCTGGTCAGGACAGCTCGCATGGCGATCGTTTCTGAGTGGGCTGGTGAGGATACAGGAAACGCAGGAAGCTGATCGAACCGTGCCACAAGAACAAGCGCATGCGATGGAAACACAAAAAGGACACGGCCGTGGAAGGAACAGCAGAGAGGGGGGCGGGGGGGAACTCTGAGAGCGTGAAAAACGCAAGGGGGCCCACCGACGAACGAAAAGAAACGGGTTTTACGCAAGCTGGCATGGAGACCTTGCGCGGTGGCTTACGCAGGCGGCCAACGCGAAATGCTTCATTGGAAACGAGGGCGGCCACGCGCGAATTAGCGCGCAACCGACGCGTGGATGGCAGCGCAAACGAACCCGTTGCTTTGCGTCGCTCAGCTGAGGCCCGCATTGCAAAGCCCGTGCCATCAGGCAAGCCTCAGTGCTCAAGCCTTACCAAAAGCACCGAAGGTCCCCCCCCCCGTCCCCACCCATCCCGTCCGTCGGGTGTGCAGGTACGCCAGCCATGGAAGTCCTCGGGCATGGGTAATGGACAGTCGCAGACGCATTCGAACGATGGCAACAATACTGCACGTCAAAAGCACGGGATACTTCGCCGAAGGCCCCCAGCTCGGATTGTTGTCAAGCCGCGAGCCAGCTGCGGTCTGGTCCACGGACACGGGTAGGAGGGGCACAGGTATATACATACGCACCTAGGCATGACATGCACACATGCATGTGCACATGTTTACGCACAAGCATACATGTGTACAACAATTGTTTTAAAAAATGAGTTTGAGGATCAGGCGGATCAGCATGCCTCCCGAAGCAAACCAAACCTGCATCTAAGAAATTGGAGGTACTTACGTCTACCCGCCGGATCCTCAGACTATTCCTCCTCGTCCTCCTCCTCGGCATCACCAGCATCATCATCGCCATCGTCGTCGTCCTCCTCGTCATCAACATCATCGGCAAAATCATCATCATAGTCATCATCAGCATCATCACCATCATCATCAGAACAATCCTCCTATTCCTCCTCCTCCTCCTCCTCCTGCTGCTGCTGCTGCTGCTGCGCTCGCGCCGCAAGGGGATATCCCGCGGCGTCCTGAAATTGCTACCCGCCGCCACGGACGCGGCCGCGACCCACTTCCGTTTTCGTCGCCGCCGCCCACCACACCACACCACCCTCATACATACAAAACACGAGACACGGGCGACGGGCGACCCGAACGAAACGAGGACGAAGGCGCCCCACAGGGGGCAATGGGCCCATGGGGGGGGGCTCGCCGCCCCTCCGCGGGGCATTCGCTGCGTCGCCACAGCGCCTCCCGGAGGCGCTGGGCCCATGGGGGGGGGGGGGGGCGCTGCCCCTCCGAGGGGCGCTGACGCTGCCGCCAGACAGCCCCCAAACAGACCTCGAGGAGGCACTGTCTTAGGTCAGACGGGCGAGGGTGATGGGGACAGGGATCTCTTTGAGCTGGAGCGGGGCAGTAGGGGCGGCGCGCGGGACGTCAAGGGCGCCCCTGCACATCTAAGCCATAGGCTGCGGAAGCACAGAGAACAAGAGGGGAAGGACGGAGAGGACACGGAGAGGAAACAGGGAACAGCGACCCAAACTTTAGCGTCCTTACACCTCTTGGACCCGCCCGGCCTGATCGACACACAGATAGACGGGTGCCTCAGTGCTCTTTCCTGTCTCTTCTTTCTTCTCCTCCTCCTCTTCCTCGGGCGGAGGGCGACGTTGCTTCCTCTGCTTCAGCGTCAACGCCTCTCCTCCACTCCTCCTAACATCCTCGCTTCCCTCACCTCCCTCACCACCTAAGTTCTCCTCCTCTTCCTTAGTCTGTAGTCCAGGGGAGGAGCCCCACCCACTCCCCTCGTCACGACGCTGGGCCTCAGCGATCAGGGCCCTCCTAGAAGCACCTCTCGAACGAGACTTGAGGGCAACGTTCAATGCACGCTCATTAATGCGTCCGGACTCGTCCACAAGGCATAACGTTCCACGGCACAGGAGGTCGTGGAGAGCAAGGTTCCCCTTCGCGGGGTCAGCATGAGTAAGAAGGCCTGCTGGCATCCGCCCGTGCGGAAGCCATCGGACAGACGACCCGATCGCGGATAAACTGTCTCGAACTACTGCCAGCTCCACAGAATTTCGCCGGTCGGCCCTGGACCCAGCCGTGTTCCGGGACAAGGTATCGAACACGCTCCTAGCATCAACCACGGAAAGGGCACTAGCTTTCTCACCCAGGGAACACTCCTGGGACATTACCACGGCGAACGGCGAGGCCACAGCATACCAGTCGGGACGCGGGACGCCCCCAAAGACGGCGTCTCGCCACAGCACTTGGAGCCAATGGGCCTCTGAAATCGACCTGCTGAGAGACAAAGTCCCAGCTGCTACAGTCGACGCGACTACTCGCTTCAAACGCTGGGAGCGCCACGAGAGCAGGCTGACTCTGACTCTGACGTTCTTCCAGATCCCGGCATCGGCGGCGAGGACGAGCCGCGCTCCTTGAGCCCCTCCTCGCTCGGCGCTCCGCGGACCCCCAGCGTCGGACGCTGTCACAAAAACGAGAGAGTGAGGGTCAAGTCCCCAAATAGTCAGCCGCTGCGCGGCCGTAGCCTTGAGATAACGACAAATCTTGATCAGCATGAGCCCGTCGGCCACCGCAGGGCGAGGCATGGCCGACGCAAGCAAGGATGCTCCTCCCGCCACGTCGGGTCGCGACTCTCGAGCGACCCACTGGACCTGCGCGATCACAGCCCTATAGGAGCTCACCTCGGAGGGGGAAGAGCTTCCTCGGGGTGCTCTCGCCTCGACTTGTCGAGGTGTAGACAGGAAAGCTGCTCACGGATATACTTCTCTTGGTCGACCGAACTCCGGTCCGCATACTGGCGGAAGTGTCGCCCCCCGTAGTCAGCCTCGGTCTCCTTCCATTTCCCGAAGTGGAACCGTGACATGAGCCGCTCACGGAAGTTCGAAATGAAGCTCTCGCGCCCTGCTACAATCAGATCGTCGACCTCGATGAGCACGAGCCCCTCAAGGGCCCCAAACTTATCACGCTTCAAATACAGGCAGGGAACAAGGAGTTACTTGACCAGGCCAACAGACTGGAGATAGTCAGTGAGAGTACGGTGCCAGAGAAGCGGTGCGTCGTTCAATCCGTAAACTGGGGCCACCAGCTCGATCAGCTGATCGGAGCCGAGGGGGGGGCCCTGGCAGGGCTCAACGTAGATTGATCCGTTGGGACGCCTTAGCTTCTCACTCTGGCAGAAGGCATTCTTCACGTCGGCTACGTTGAGAGCCCAGCCAAACGAGACGACGATCTGCAACACAAGAAGCACGCTTTCCGTCTGGGGCGCGGGGGCGTAGACGCGGAGCGTCTCGCCGTCCGGGCCTTGGCGTCCGTGCACACGCCACCGTGACTTAGGCACCGGTTGTTCCCCCACGCCCTCCACCAGCTTCCGCCTCCTGACCATGCGAAACGAAAGAATGCGGCCAGGGTGACGTCTCTTTACAGCTCTGGCCTGCTCGGGGGGAAGAACTCGAACCGCTCCTGACGACAGCATGGCCTCCCATTCCTTGAGATCTGAGGCCTCGAAGGCACGGCGCCCCTCCTGAGACAAGTCTTTCCAGCGGACCTCAGCGCCCCTCGGATTCGACCGCGCAGGAGCCTAGGTCAGAAACGAGCCCCCGACAAGGTCGTCGAAGTCGAACAAAAAGGATGCCGGGGAGTAGCCTCCAGCCACCTCAGCCCAGCCCTGGATCTCGCCCAGCAAAGCTCGATCTTGCTCGTCGTCGCCCCAAACCCACGGGTCGGACTGGTAGTTTTCGAGGCCGACAAACGCCTCGGTTTCGGAGCCGGCGGCCTCCATCAGGAACCCTTCGGACCCGGGACCCCGATCTCCGGAGCGACTTCGAGCTCTGGCTCCCGAGTCGCCCTCGCGACCCACAGGGGCAGGGGCACCAGGTCTAGCTGTGGGCACGGAGATGCTCCGTGAGGAGCCAATGCGAGGCGATCGAGGCAGCTCGGCAAAAGGGGGCGCGCCAGGCAACGCGGGGACCATGTCCAGACTGGGAGTATTCGGCAAGACCGCGGGCTCGTCCCGGCCAGCGGCCTCAAATTCCCGGATACCTCGAGCCACGGTCGACTCGGGAGAGTTGGCCTCCTCGATCGGGGTGAGGCGGGGTCTCTGAGCCGGAGGCTCGCCAGGGGTCCCCTGGGAATCCGGTGGCCGCGCAGCGGCCCGACGGGGCGTCTCGACGTCAGACAGCGGGGCCGTGCTCGAGCCGGGGGAAACCAATCGGGACATCGATGGCTGAGAAGGGACTACTGTCGGAGCGGACCCGGGGGCCTGCATCGCTCGCTCCCCGAGGTCCCGGGACTGCCTCGGAAGCGGGGGGGCGTCCAGAGCCTGGCGCAGGGCGGTGGGCAACTCGCTCACCGGCTCTGGAGCCGCAGCTGCGGCTCCACTTGAAACTACTCGGGCCGCTGGTTCCGGCGGCGGCTCTGCCGCAGCCTCTGGGGCATCAAAGGCCTCCGGAGGAGGCGGGCCCTCAGCAGCCACGTCGACAGCGCCAGATCGCTTCGCTGGATTACGAATATCATCCCTCAGTCTGTCGAAAGTAGAGCTGTCCAATAACTGCGCCCCAAGAGTCTCAGCCCTCGTGGCCGGGCGAACCTGTTCGGCCGAGCATTTTAGGAGCCGCGTCCGCATGGCGACCCACACGGCCCCCCCGGGACCACCAGACTGGAAAACCACAACCCCGGGTCCGGTCCACCTATCTCTCTGCAGCGAATGCGATCGGTTGGAGGAGGTCAAGCGTCGGTAGACGTAGACCCACTGGCCAGGCGAGAACTGCCGGTCCACGTGCAGGCGGGCCGATGCGGCCTCAGCTAACCGAGATCGCGCATCCAGAGAGGCCAGCGCTCGACGAGCTGCCTCTCTAATACGATGTTGGCGAGCAAAGGCGGCGGCTGCAGTGTCGTTGTCGGCAGATCCTGGTTGCACATCTTCTGATCCACCGAGGCCGAGGCCGTCATCCGACAGCAGACTCCGCGGCAAGCGCGGGTTCTCGCCGAACACCAGCTGGAAGGGACTGAAACCACCTCTGTGAAAGCTCCGGTTTTTGGCCGCCACCACCTCACACAATGGAAGGTCCGTCTCCTCACGGGAAGTGGGGCTGCAACCGAGGGCGGCCTTAGACAGCGCCTCTTTCACCAAACCCCCGTGTCTCTCGCACTTTCCATTGTGATGTGGGGTGTTGGCGGGGACAACGTGAACGAAGATGTCCAGATGTTCACATCCCCTCGCGAAAACGGACTCGAACTCGGAGCCCCCGTCGCTCATCAACATCTCGGGAAGACAAAAAGGGCGGACCCACCACCTCAAGAAAGCCCCCCACACCGTCTTCGATGTGTCGTCATCGAGCAGCGCGCACTGTTGAAAGCTCGTGCCATGGTCGATGACATTTAGCACCGGGGTGCTCTGACCTCCTATCTCGAGGTAAACTAGGTCAACGGCCACCAT